ACCAGGTTTGGGGCATGATGAATGATTTTCAGTTGGGACCTGGATATTTATATATTACGTTGCAACTGTGGATCTTATTTAAACTTTATCTTTTAGCTGGCTTTCTCTGACTTTTTATCAGGAAAGGGAAAGATGCTGCTTTGTTACTACCAGGTGGGGGTAGAAGTCTAGGTTCCCCACTCAGCCTCTGTTGGCATCGCAGGGTGGGGCACTTCTTTTTACTGCTGGGTGGGTGTGGGACTTCCAACATCTCCACTGACCCCGTAGAAGGGCGCTGTTACTGGTTGGAAGGGATGAAAGTCCTAGTTCCCTACTTGGCCTTCTCTGACTCCACCCTGACAGCATGTTGTTACAGCCCTACAAGGGTGGAAGTCTAAGCTCCCCACTTGGTCTTTGATGGTGTGGATGGGAGTGAGGCCCATATTTTGTTTTTTGTTTCCTATGGTGAATGGTTGGGAGTAAAGTGTTTATTGCCTAAAAAATTTTTGTCTTTCTAGGCTATCCCTTTCCTGGTCCTTTGTGTAGAGAACACAGGCTTTTCTTGAGGCTTTTTTTTTTTTTTTTTTTTTTTTTTTTTTTTTTTTTTTTTTTTTGGTTTATGTTTGTTTGGGTTCCTGGATTGCCAGTTTCCTCAGCTTCAAGTCGGAGATAAATCAAAAAGAAAATCCAAAGAACTCACCACCATGTCATTACTCAAGTTCGAAGGTCCCTAGCCAGTCTTCCTTTTTCTTCAAACTTTCAGACTCTTCTCATGTTTGTTTTAAAAATAATGTCTAGGGGCGCCTGGGTGGCTCAGTCGGTTAAGCGTCCAACTTTGGCTCAGGTAATGATCTTGTGGTTCATGGGTTCGAGTCCCTCGTCAGGCTCTGTGCTGACAGCTTAGAGCCTAGAACCTGCTTTGTGGATTCTGTGTCTCCCTGTCACTCTGCCCGTCCCCTACTCGTACTCTGTCTCTCTCTCTTTCTCTCAAAAATAAATAAAAAACATGAAAAAAGATTTTTAAATAACGTCTAAGATTTTCGACAGCTCTTTCTGCGCATGGGTTCTGTCCCCATGCTTTAATTAAACCACCTTTTCTGCACTGAAAAAATAAAATAAAAATAATGTCTAGGGTTTTTTGTTGTTGTTGCACTTTAGCAGGAAGAATAGGGAAAAGTACTTCCTAGAAACAAAGTCTGTATATTGATTTTAACTAAGGAGATGTTTATTTTCAGTAACCGTGTTCATCAGTCTTTTCCATCACGGCTTCTTCCTTTTCCAATGTGCCTGAAGTCCATTTCTGCTCCTAGATGAGACAATCTCTATCTGTATTCTTCTCTTGCACTCCTCTGCCTGCTGGGTGATTACTTTATACCTCTCCTCTCTTCTCAAATCTCCACTCTCTCAGCACATAACTTGGCTTTCTATTTCACTGAGAAGACTGAAACTACCAGAAGAAGACTTCACCAGATGCCCTCCACCACCTCCATCCACCTTTTGGCACCTGTTACTACATCCACGGCTGCTCAGCTTGTTTCCACTGATGGTGGCCCATGCCTTTGCTTGATCATATCTCCTCTTACCCATCCATAGACCTCACTTCAACAGTTCTTCTTTCTTTTCCTTCAACATTAATTTTTGCACTCCACTAGATTGTTCTCATTAGTAGTAAAAGTATAAACATGCTTGTATTTTCACCTTGAAAATACGAGTTCTATTTCCCACATCAATTTCTGTGCTTCATGTCTTTGCTCCCCCTTATGTCAAAACTCTTTGAGAAGTTTTTGGGTTTTTTTTGTTTGTATTTTTTACTCATTGTCTCTAGCTCCTTTTCCCTAATTGTTAAACCCACTTTAGTCTGGCTTTTACCTCACAACTCCAACAAAATAGTTTTGTCAAGGTCACCAGTGAGCTTTGCACTAAATCCAGTGTTCAGTTCTTGGCCCTCGTCTTTCTTGATCCATCATTAGAATTTGACTCAGCTGATTCCCTCCTCTTATTAAAGAGAGCTATCTTCACTTGGCTTCTCTTCCGATTTTCCTCTGACCTACTTGGCTGGTCTTCTTGGTCTCCTTTGTTGATTCATCATCATCTTGATCTTTTAATGTTCATGCTCCACAGAGCTTATTCTTATTACATACATTTCCTTGATGATTTCTTCTTTTCTCATGATTTTTCAACACCATATATATGCTGATGATTCTTTGGTTTGTATTTCCAACTCAGCGTTTTCCTCAACTCCAGACTAGTTTATCCAACATTTCCATTTGGACACTAATAGGCACCTTAGAGTCACTGTGTGCAAAAACGAACTCCTGGTCTTTCCCAGTAACTGCTTCACCTACAACTGCAACTCAGTTGTGGCAACACCTGAGTTGCCACAGGTGGCAACACCATCTTTCTAGTTGTTCAGCTCTAAAGCCCAGGAGTCATGCTAGGTTCCTCTCCTTCTCACTGTATATATCCCATCTGTTGAATAGTTCAAGTTTGCTTTCAACAGATGCCAAGTCTATCCCTTCTCATCCCTCCATTTGCAGTCACATTGCTCCAGGTCACCTTCATCACTAAACAGAAGATTCTGATAGTAATATGTCAATTCCATACCGATCCTCTTTGGCCTCCCAGGTCACTGTGAGTCAGCTCCAGTGTCCTCTGGTCACATGGGTCTCCTTGCTATTCCTCAGACATTCCAGGCCTACATGTGCCCAGATCATTTGGGGAAGTTGTATTTTAAAAAGCCATTGATACTTGATTGACATTGTTTTAAATTTATTATTTTTAGAAAAATTGATCTTTCCAATAAACCAGAAATTATGACTTTTTGTTCATTTCTTCTTTTATGTCCCCCAGAGATATTTTAGAGTTTTATTTATGCAAATCCTATTACTGCTTGATATGCATATATTTTATTGCTATTTTGTTATTTTTAGAAAAATTTTTAATGTTTATTTATTTTTGAGAGAGAGACACAACATAAGTGGGGCAGGGGCAGAGAGAGGGGGAGACACAGAATCCAAAGCAGGCTCCAGGCTCCGAGCTGTCAGCACAGAGCCTGACGCGGGGCTTGAACTCACGAGCCGTGAGATCGTGACCTGAGCCGAAGTTGGACGCTCAACCGACTGAGCCACCCAGGTGCCCCTAAGGGAGGGAGAATCTTAAGCAGGTGTCACATTCAGCACAGAACCTGATGTGGGGCTTGATCCCATGACCCTGGGATCATGACCTGAGCCGAAATCAAGAGTTCAGCGCTCAACTGACTGAGTCACCCTGGTACCCCTTTATTGCTATTTTGAATGGAATTATTTTCCGTTATTTTCAACTTGTTATTGCTGGTGTGTAA